AACACTGGCCACTCGTCAGTCACTCAGCAAAGAAAACCCTGCTTTAGCCTCCTTTCTGACGCTGATAGCAAGCATAATTAAACTCGGCTGTATTCAGTAAAACTGAGTGTGAGCGCTCATTTCTTGGACCTGCCACTTTGATTCTTAGTTTCCTGATTGTGTTTTCACCTCTGTTGTATTTATTCCCTCAGGTTGTCTTTGTTCCTTATGTATGTTATCCTTAAGTCATCCTGTTTTGGTATGGATACTACTTAAGAGCTTGTGATGCATCTCTAGTATTTCCCTGTGTTTATTCTTGGACTCTGGTTGAATTTTTCCACTTCGCTAGACCTGACACGGAGCCAACGAGCTCATTGTTTACTGAGGTCACAGACGAGACATCTGAGGGTAACCACCCTTCGCTTTTGTCACCGAAATGCTACTGCGATCTTTTATATGTGGTCGTTCATGTGACGCAAGTTTCACATAGCGCACCTTTAAATTTAATGTGTTGTGAAATGGACGAAATCACATTCTGTTTATGAGGCTACGGCCAGCAGCCAGTGTACCTTAGTGTGAAGATCTGCTAGCATAAGATAAATATAACACCACCGACATTCTAAGCAGGAACGTGCTGTCTTGGAAGATAGATTTCCTTTGGATGCTGCTGCTGTCGGATTTTAGATTTATGATTGAGACTGGACTGTAACACTTAAAAATAATCTCGGTCAAAGGGACCATGTCGCGTTATATGACCACATTATTGTGTCTAATCAGCGGTCAAGGCCAAAAGAAAAAGCAGCTGTCGGCTTACTGAATGACACACAGAAAATGAGGTCTGCAGGTTTGAAAAAAAATCAAGGACAAGAACAATTACAAAGCATATTCCTCTGTTTTCTTCTTGTTTCTGCATGAGTTTCTAAAGCTGATTAATTAACAACATTTCATTTATTTGTTTTGTTTTCTGCTGACCTTCAAAAGCAAATTTGTAGAGCTCTGCAGTCAGGTCATTGACCATGACTCCCTGTCCACTGGTCTCCCTCAGCCAGTTCACCCTGCAGATAAAATCGGACACCACCTCATTGATGGTGTTGGCATAGGAGGAGACGTGCTTGGGTTTCAGCATTCGTGGATTCAAGATGCTGCGAATCCGCTGCCATTTGGCCCCCATCCTAAAAACCAATATAAAAACAAGGGAATGAGGCTCCAGAGAGCAAGTCATAGAAAATTACTTTTTATGATCATATCAATCTATAAGTATAGATTTGTATTTGGCTTATTCTTGCTTACATTTAAATGGACTCACTTTACAGGCAAGGCTAGTAAGAGGCTACATATTTCCCTTCTTTATCAACAAATCCCATCCAAAGACCAAAGTCAACCAGGAATTAATACTAATAACAAGTGTTATTGTTTCCAAAGTGCTTCAAACTGTTCAAAATAAAATATCCATAGCAAATGGGCAAATCTCTGGAAACACGAGTGGGTGTTTGAGATCTTTAAACATATCCAAATGCACATGAACGAGTGTACCCTAATGTAGTGTACCCTTGTCTAATAGTGTCTGAAAGCATGTTAGCACTGCTCCAGCGTCTTAACTTTCAACACTGATAAGTGCTGCTAAAACAAGTCGGACAAGAATAAATGAGGAGCTGAGAAAGTGTCTGTTATTCTGCCAAAGCACATTATGGTCCACAGTCCCTTCCTTTTAATACTTTAGATTTTATATGAAACTGATGACGTCTATATTGGTCTCTGGTTTTTCCTTTCCAGTCACCTTTCTCACTCACTATGTGTTAACAGACCTCTCTGCATTGAATCATATCTGTTATTAACCTCTGTCTCTCTTCCACAGCATGTCTTTATCCTGTCTTCCTTCTCTCACCCCAACCAATCACAGCAGATGGCCCCGCCCCTCCCTGAGCCTGGTTCTGCCGGAGGTTTCTTCCTGTTAAAAGGGAGTTTTTCCTTCCCACTGTCGCCAAAGTGCTGCTCATAGGGGGTCATATGATTGTTGGGTTTTTCTCTGTATCTATGAAGCGCCTTGAGGCGACTTTTGTTGTGATTTGGCGCTATATAAATAAAATTGAATTGAAATGAGGTGAGATTAAATTATGTTAAATTATAGTTTCCAATTCGTTAGAACTGTTTCAAGGCAAAATCAAGAGGAGAGTGATGCGTAGTCAACAACCACAACCTCTATGAAGAGGAAGAACAGTAACAGTAACCTCTGTCTTAGGTCACATATCAAAAATTGTCAATCCATACTTTTAAAGGCATTGCAGTCCTATATACACCTATATCTATCTATCTATACCTACATATTTTATATTGACTGGATTATATTATGGATTTTTTTCTTTTTTGTTCATAACATTGCATTCAAAGTCCACGTATTTGCTCCCATGTTAAAGAACCTGAACACCTAGCAAAGTTTGGCATAGGACAAAGTTTTTTCGCATAGCAACTGACACAACAAAAAAATCAATGTATCGTGTTTGTTTGTTTGTAGAAAAGAAATGATCTGCAGTTGATACATCACATGTTATTGCAGCTTGATCAGACAGATTTCATCAGTGGAAAACAAAACAAACAACATGCTGTCAGCCTGCTCAGAGTTACAGTGCAGTGTGGATTCAGGACACAGATGTGGTGGATCTGTGATGGTTTCACTCACTCAGTCAGGGGTCCGTGGGCCTGGTTCCTGAGCTCTCTGTAGTTCCTCCAGTGGGGCATGTCTGTCCGGATTGGGTGTTTACCCTCCTGCCTCAGCACCTGTTCTATCATGTCGGCACTGGCCACATTCACCACGACCAAAGGGCCGTATTTGGACTTCCACAGGGGGCCGTATATCTTGCTGTGCTCGATCTTTGAGCAAATAATGGGAGTTAATAGGTTAGTTGCATGTTCAGAGTTATCAGGAGGTAAAATGATGTTTAAGGAGACCGACAGTTTCCTGTTGGAATTAGAAAATATCATGACATATCAGTGCATACTTATCTTTGCTTAGAGTATCCTCATTATAAAAAAATATCTCTTACTTCTCCTCTATCGTGGAAAACTCTCCTAAGACTGTGACTGTCTCTCAAAGGAAAACTAATCTAGATTTTTTTATCCATTTATTTGTATTACAGGATTTGTTACAGATGATTTTAATCGTTGTTATTAAGCGCTTATTAAACCAAGATTCAATTCTAAACCCCAAACTGTGCGTGAATAAATACCACAGTGGGGTCATTAGGATACACTGATCGCTCTAGCAGCTCCAGGGGAAGGTGCACTGTAGTTCAAACTCAGGGGGGCGGACTGAACCCTTAGTCCAGAAGGAAAACTCCTTCTTTTCCAACTTACTTGCATTTGTTGCGTCGTTTGGAAATATCCCTTTATAAAAAGCCAATACAAGGTAGTCATGAAACTCGGTCCGCCTAAATCATCCATAGTTTTCATTTTGTTGACACCCATGACGGTGCTGGTGGAGGCTGCCTCGCGGCGGAGGATGTCCCCATAGTTGGCAGGGTTTAGTCCCGCTGTGACTCTCTGGATCCCTTTAAGCTGCTGACACTTCACGCGCAGTCCGACGTTCATCAGAGATCTCCCGAGCATTTTAACCATGCAGTGCGTCTTATCTGCCCCTTCTTTGCGCCGCGACAGGAGGCTAAACAAGTGATCAGCCCCGGTGTCTGTGCCTGTATGTCTATGTGTGTGTGTGTGTGTGTGTGTGTGAGAGAGAGAGAGTGAGCCGTGAGATAATGCCTCTTTGTTTGTGAAACAGCAAACCCGATGCCTGTGTACCAGCCTCCTGCCAACAACTGTGGACTTTGGCATTATCATAAACGTCAGCAAGTGAACCTACAGGACGCTGTTTGTAACCTGCGCAAACGCAGAGGAACAAATATTATTCATATACATAAAAAGCTCTGGTGAAGATAAATTAGTCAAACACATTCATAATTCACAACCTATACAAATAAGGTTAATGTGGAGTTGAGCCAAAGCCCCGGTTTTCCGTTTTCCTTTAAAGGATGTTGGGGGTGGAAACGTCTGCTTCCTTACTCTTCCTTACCCGTAGCTATATAAAACGCACTCCTATATTTATTTGTTGGAAAATTACCGTCAAACACTGTTGCATAAACGCCCGTTTCGTAGGCGTGAATGCAGTTTGAATAAAATTGCATTATAGCCTGAAACTACCGGAGGACAGCGGCTGGAGGTACAGCCTTGCGGGGATTGGTGGATCCGGTGAGGGTGGGTCGGATCAGACGGCAGAGTTTTGCCCACCCAGACCAGCTTTTGTTGTTGGTGTTGTTGTTGTCTGTTAGCTACAGTGTTACCTAAGAAACCCAAGAAAGACAGATAACCGCCCCAACATTGCCCTCTTCCTCCTGTTTTTAATTATTACTACGTTTTCTTCGTATTTCCGAGGCACCTGCCTCTTCTGGAACCACTGTGAGTCAACTCTACGCGTTTTCAAATGGCCTTTATAAATTAAAAGGATTTGACTTGGCACAAATTGAAAATATTGCAACAGGAAAACATAATAATAATAATAATAATAATAATAATAATAAAATATTATTATAATAACCGTAACAATAATTAGTTCGGAGTTATTCATAATAATAACTGGTGACCTAATGTTAGTCAGGCTCATATGCTTTTATTGTCGCATTATTTGGGGGCGCATATAGCCTTCTGTATAAAACCAAACATGCGCACAGCGCTAAAAATGTTAAAAAGAAATCAACAAAAAAGTTACAAAATAACTTAGCATATTGAAGCAAGACTGCCTAGCAAAGGCAAAGATGATTGATTTCCGTTTTTCAAACTTTAAAGCTGCAAAAGTTTAGAGAATGTTGTTCTTACCCAAAGTGTGCTGAGTGTATGTAAACCTCAAAAATGCCATTCAAGTTTATTCACTACTTTTAATGTTTAGGGATGTTTGAGTTCTACTTGGTAACAAAGTCATAATGTTTAACCCAGTGCCTCCATCATCAGTGGAAGTATAGAGAAGCCTAGTCTGTGTTTTTCAATTTATAGTTATTTTGACTTAAATGCTTTGCAATTATTACAAAAAGTGTGAGAAAACATTTTTAAACT